ACGATGGCTACCACCTCCATATCGGCTCTTCTTTCACCCCGTATCATTTGAATAATTGCCATAGCATCCGATTCCACCTCCACTTTGTTTATGCCACTGCTAATACATGCCACCATTGCCTTTCGAATGGCCTCCGCTTCCATTGCAGTAGCAGTCCTACCCACAAACCTCCTTTTCCACCAGCTTGCAGCAGCAGCCTCACATCAGTTCTGACAACCCATCCCACCCTTTCATGCCTTGTCTGCTCATGCTTTATAAAAGATTTTAGAGGGTCTTCCAACAGAATTTCGTCTGGCCATTATGAACTTATGTGAACTCATTTAGAATAATGGATGCAACACATCCAAGTGGCTTAACATGACTGTTTATTAGGATGAAAAATCAATCAGATTTCTTGGATGGATGTTTAGAAAGTTGTTTTTTGTGCAGGGCTTGTCCTAGAAAAAAGATTCACGGGAACGTTCCTTAGAGAATCCACAAGTCTGAATCTAGCTATGGATAAGGCACTTCACAAACACTACTACAATTTTGTTAAACTACGACACCCAATAGACGACCCTTTATATAAAAACTGATGTGGTGTTTTAAAAGACGACGAATGTTATAAAACCGTCGTTGTAAGGTACCTAATACGCTGATGTATTGGGTTGATTTTTAAAATTACGACAATACCTTATTAGGATCGTCGTGATTTTAGGAAGCGCTAAACGAAAATTCACTTTAAGTTTCACGAGCATGGAACTTTTCAGAAATCGCTCTCTCAAAGCACTGTACTATCTCAAATTCCTTTCAGAAAACCCTCTCCCTCACATCGATGAAGCACATCTCCCTCTCGCCGTCCACCGAACTAGCCGAGATCGCCATCTCTGTCATGCCGTTTATGTAACACCCCGACCCCAAATTTATCCCATGTTTTAATTTATTTAAGTGGAATTGAGAATTTACCCGTGGTATAGGGGTATTTTAGTCATTTTCTTATCCGAAAGGAATTTGGGAATTCCGGTTGTACCATTGTGTAGAGCGCGGTGAGATGAGTCCGTAGACGCGTAGTGGGCTTGAATCGGAGTTGTAACGAAAGAGATACAATCAAATGAAGCTCAGTGGCATAATCGTAAATATATTGAAATAGGTTTTTGGTTAAAAGACAGAACTGCCCCCGTCTCTCTCTCTCTCTCCCCACGCGTCCCTCTCTCTCTCTCTCGTCTGGTTCGCGACGCCACCGCAGTCGGCCACATTTTGGCCGGCCGTTCGTTCATCCGGCCACCACTCGGGTCGGGACCGGTCCCAAAATGACCGGCCTGACTCTGCCGTCCTACCCCACCCGTTCTCCGACGTCAGCCGGCAGCGATACCGCCGGAAACTGCAGAAAAACGGCCGGTTTTTACCCAGATTTTCCGGAGCTCGTTCCGGCGATTTCGGCCACCGATTCCGGCAAGTGAGGTATGGTTTCTGACCTATTTTCCGAGCTCTAGCTGCCTGTTGGGTAGGAATTGATCAATTTGTAGCGTAGACAACTCGATTTACGAATTGGGTTTCTGCCGAATTTCGGGATGAGATTCCGGCCACTTCCGGTTAGTTTTTGGAATATGCCCAAGAACAAAAGTGACTCCAAATTATGTGTATTACCTAGGGTAGGAGTCTTGGCTCTCGATTTGGAAGCTTTCCGGCGATGCGATATCGCTTTGGACACCCACGCGCTGCCGTCGCGTGTGGGCACTGTAGCTTAGGGGCATTTTTATCCCACTGCGATCCTCTCGATGTCACGAGCGCGTAGGTGTGCTCGGATCTCATTTTGGATACCGTTAGAGTTCCGAACGGATATCGCATATCGCGTATTTTCTGGGTTTGCTAGGTTTGGACCGTTGGATGGTCCTGAAGTTATAATATGTTGATCTAGGTATTACCAGGATCGTATATGATTCGACGGATCATAAAATGGAGTCCCGGATACTCCGAAAATGCCAACCCTAGGGGTAAGGTTTAGTAATCGTCCGATCGTGCAATCGTGAGCGGTCCGACCGTCCGATCTGGACCAAACTTACAGGACATGTGTCCTAGAGCCTGTAGAACCTATAGGAACTTTCGGATCAAAATTTGGAGGTTGTGGGCCCTGCAGGCCCGTTTGACCCTAGGTTGACCGTGAGACTTCCGAGATAGTCTTACCTTTCTTTGATGACCTTAGTGACAGGTCTTGAGCGTTGTTGAGTTAAATGGTTTATATGCGAATTTAGGATATTATTATATGATTTAAATTGCGGAATTATCATATGCTATACCAGGGTTGAGTTTTACGAAATAAAGGATTTTATGTGATTAATGTAATTATGTATGTATACGAAGGTATTAAAGAGTATAGAATGTTAGTTTACAGTGTTATACGCACTACCCCACGCACCCCCCCATACTGTGATTAAGTTGAGGCCTTTAAACTCGTGCGGTTGGTGAGAATGTAGCCAGGCCCAAAGTGAATAGTACGATGGCTGGTGAGAATGTAGCCAAGCTCAGTGTGGAGGTCGCACGCGTCTTTGGATTAGCCGGCGTGTTGACAGACCTCATACGTGGCCGGGTGCGTCCCGATGTATGAGGGGAGATATGATGGTGTGCAGGCTGGTGCGAATGTAGCCAGGCCCGGTGTTGAGATCGCACGCGTCTTTGGATTAGCCGGCATGTTGACAAACCCCATACTTGGCCGGGCGCGTCCCGACGTATGAGGGGAGATATGATTGTGTGTGGGCTGGTGAGAATGTAGACAAGCCCGGTGTTGAGGTCGCACGCGTCTTTGGATTAGCCGGCATGTTGACAGACCCCGTACGAGGCCGGGTGCGTCCCGACGTATGGGGGGGGATATGATTGTGTGAGAGCTGGTGAGAATGTAGACAAGCCCGGTGTTGAGGTCGCACGCGTCTTTGTATTAGCCGGCGTGTTAACAGACCTCATACGTGGCCGGGTGCGTCCCGACGTATGAGGGGAGATATGATTGTGTGTGGGCTGGTGAGAATGTAGACAAGCCCGGTGTTGAGGTCGCACGCGTCTTTGGATTAGCCGACATGTTGACAGACCCCATACGAGGCCGGGTGCGTCCCGTCATATAAGGGGATTATGTGATATGTTGATGAGTTCTCACGTGTCGTAGGTTTATCCGGCGTGCGGATAGGTCCCATACGTAACTTTGGATGTTCCGGCGTATGGGGAGGTATTGTGATTGTATTTGGTGAGTTGTGATGAATAAATCCTAGAATGTATGAATTTGTATGGCTGTAATGGTTTATCTGATATTAGGAGCCAGGATGGATACGAAAGAGCTACGTGTGGCTTGATCCCTTAGTAGGGTACGTAGGCAGCCTGAAGTTACTAGGTGCAGCCACAGATTAGACCCCCACTTAGGTTGTCTTATTGAGTTTGGTTCGGACCTCGTTGTTGGTCCCGAAACTTAGTTGAATTGAGGCTTGTCCTGTGGACTGAGTGAGTGAAGGTGGGCATAAATAGATTTTGGAATTTGTTATATGCATGTTTGATACATTAAGTTATTTTAAAAACTTTGTGGGCAGTTCTGCTAGAATCATTTGAAGGCCGGAGGCCATTTGTGTAAATTGCATGAGATTATATTGTGCGTGCTGCCGGTTGGGTTATAAAATGTGTTTTATGCAGGTGGAAATTTTGGGAAATGTTAAATTTACATGGGAGACTCTGCCGAAATTTCGGCAGAAAATCTCTTGCCCTTAGTCCTCTCTGGTAAACGAGGACATAGTTTTAAGGAGTGAACCCGGCGTAGGTGGGATGCCGGGGTCTCCGCAGGGTTCGTCTCGGGTTCCGGGAAATTCGGGGCGGGTCCTATCAGTTTAGGACACTGAGTTCTCCGAGATCACCATCTCTATCGCGCTGTTCAGTCCACCGAGCTCCCTGCGTTCGCCATCTCCCTTGTGCTTCCCATGGCAGTTACCCTTCCTCGTCGCGACCATTTTTAAGCCCTTATATACATTCCCATCTTCCATTTTACGAGCTTTAGATTAGATCTTCTTCCTCATAGATCAGAAAGGTACGAAGCTACTTTTCTAGGGTTAACTTAGGATTCTTCTGATTTGATTTCAATTTTTATTTTTTCTTGTTTATGATGGTTGTTTGTCTGAGATATAGGGTTACGATTTGTTTGTTCTTTAATTTCGGTGCGTATTGACATATATACGATTTGTTTGTGGTTAGATCTGACTTGATTTAAGCTGTATACAGTTCAGTAGTTGCATTTTTTAACCTTTTTGCTTTTATTTTGTTCAAAACTCACAGATAATCTTAAATTTAACTCGGGTTTTGAATTTCTCTTCTGTTTGCAATTGAATTTCTTGTTTTTATTTCTGAATGTGTCTTGTGCAGGTTTTACCTTTGCAGAAAGTCGACGCACATGTCAACACTATCCATGAACTTTGCCCTTTGTTACTCTGAGAGAAGATATGGATGCTTTGCCCATTCAGGTTAGTTAAGTCAACTTAGTTTAAATTCGTTTACCTTAATTGTTGGGTTTGATCAGATTGATATACTCTATTGCTTTGATCCTTATACTTGTGTCAAGGAAATCAGATACAAATGTTTTACCCTTGTTTTTGCAAGGGCAATCCAATTGTTGGGTTTTCATCACATAGATGTATATTTCTGCTCTGTATTCGTTTTCATTAGCTTTTAATCAAAGTGCTTGTGACAAGTAATTGTGGGAAAACGACTAAGACATAAATGGTACCGCAGGCTACTTTTCCTTGATCCATAGAACCGTAGCCTTTCGAGCTTTTGTTGATGAGCATGTGAAGTGAAACAGAGAACCCTTTTATCTCCCCCGCAATGTCATACAGAACATGACAAAAGCTAAGCTTTATATAGCTCAAAATCATAATGTAGGAAAAGAGAGAAATAATCAAAAGCATCAAGTGCAGTGTTCAATTTGATGTTCTTAATCAAAAAGAACTTTGTATTGACAACATTGCATCTGCATATGAGTATAGGAATTGGTGGAATGGGAATACAAGAGCAAAGTGGACGGAAAAATGCATGCTTGTGGCCACGACGCACATGTTGCCATGCTTCTTGATTTCTCTAAGACAGTCAATGAAGTCCACCCAAGCTTGAGTGATCACTCCTTTGCTCATTCCAAGAACTCTCAGGTTTTACATTTGACTTACCATTTGGCTCTCATTCTAACTGTCTAATTTGTTAATTTGGCATCTGCATATTTGTTAAAATCATTGTTTGTGAAGTAATTAGGTGATGACATAACTAGATACTTGCTGCATTTGTTAAATCACTCATGTTTTTGCTTTTCCGCCATCAAGTTGAAACCATGGTTGATTGTCTTACTACCCCATGGTACAACAGCTACAAGTATCATTACATGGAATTCAACAAGTAATTTTCTAATGCGTAATTTCTGATTTAATAAAATCTATGCTCCCTGAAACCAATAAAGAAAAAGTTTTGTTGGTTAAAAAATTCCTAAGCTCCTCTGGCTTTTGTGGATCAACTGAATTGATATGAGTAAATGAATTTTTTTCGGAAAATATTCCTAAATAGTTGAGATGACAAATGATATTGAAAGCAAATGCTATTTTGGCATTTGTACTTTAACTAAGTATCCTCAGCATTGGACCATGAGTATCTGGTTTTTTATTTGGCAACATATGGATTCAATTGTTAGACTTATAGTCTGAATTCAATGTTATTATCTCCCTTGTTTCACTTGTATATGTTTAGCTAGTACTAGAATAGTTTATGTGAGGTGGATGGGGTAAGAATTATGGTGTAAGCTTTAGATCAGCTAACTTTTCTAGCTGCTGCTTTTTCTCTAGTTATGATTGTGTAGGCTACTTTTTGCCTAGTTGGGCCAAGTCATTGCCTTGTCTATTGTAACGATCCGTTAAAGTGATGTAACTTTGGAAGTTATGGTCAGATTTTCTTCAATTCTGTTGACGTAGGAGTTGTATATTTCAGGTCCTGGCTCTTAAAGGATCTTATCATGGTGATACTTTGGGTGCTATGGAAGCACAAGCACCATCATCTTACCCAGGCTTCCTCCAACAACCATGGTATGAATTTTTTGTCACAAGATACTTGAAATATTCCAAATCTGTATTATATCTCAACTTTTGGAGTTAATCAGCATCCAATAGAGAATATAGTACTCTTACTCCAGGTTGGCATTATTCTATTGATCTATGATTCTTATTGTTTCAAGTTAAGTAATTATATTAGGTAGCACTATATTAATAATCCTTTCATTATTGGTAATGTTATCTGGATTGTATATCTCACTATTACATTATTTTGGCTTGTTAAGCAGTTTCCTAGGCCATGGAAGTGATTCTAACGAAGCTACTCCTAGTGGTAAAAGTTGAAGAAAGGCAGAGGAAAATTGGTGATGATGAATGTACATATGGATGACTTGAAGGATAATTAAGTATAGGAATTTTGATGTGTTTATTGTAATTAGGCTTGCAGCTTGCAGCTAGCAGCCCTAGAGTACTTTCATTTTTTAGATTTTATTTAGTTCTATTGTACTCTTGATATTCTATTTATGAAAGAAACAATTTTTGAGTACATATATGTATGGCGTGGGTAATAGCATATTTGAGTATATATTTCTAATACCATTGGAAACAACAACAAAAAAACTAAAATGTAAAATTACGTCAGTTTTATAGTTAATAACTATCGTCTTTACATCTAATAGACGACGGTTCTTTTATAAAAACTGTCGTCTTTATATGTAATAGACGACGGTTAATTACCGTCGTAGTTTGACATTCAAAAAGATGACGATCGATTTAACGACGGTTTGAAAAAGAAAAGGACGACGGTGTTTCCCCGTCGTCTATTTCAATTTTTGTAGTAGTGAAATTTATGTGCCCCAAAATATTTTGCTACTGTCATTTGTGTAGAAGATTCAAACAATATATATATATATATATGCATACTTAATTCTGCAGATCATTCCTTATGCATCAGTAGTTTAAAGCTGATGAGAAGATACTTGTACATCTAATAGTGCATCTTCTTAATCAACGATTTTTTTCATGCAAGTTCTTTGAAAATTGAACAGATGACCCACGAGAGGAATGAGCTTAGAGAGGATAATTCCGCGTGCTGACAGAGTCTCCTAATGACGATCGTCAATGGCTTACTTTAGGTGGTCTTCCAACAGAATTTCCTTGGGCCATTATCAACTTGTTTGAAATCATTTAGAATAATGTACGTAATACATACAAGTGGCTTAAACGAGTCCCCAGTTTTGGTTCTTTCTAGTTTAAGCACGTATTTGGGTTTTATAATAAAATTTGGGCTTTTATAATGAGCAAGCGAATAATGTATGTAATACATCCAAGTGGCTTAAACGAGTCCCCAATTTTGGTTCTTTCTAGTTTAAGCACGTATTTGGGTTTTATAATAAAATTTGGGCTTTTATAATGAGCAATCAAACAATATTTAGCCAATGGGGGCTTTACCACCATAGTGGTATGTGACCCTCCCATCTATTTTGTAGATATTCATTCAAAGATCATCTCTACAAAAAATTTCGTAGAAATATCTACAAAATAGACGGTTTGAATTAGTGAAATATAGTTATTCTCACATCCAGATGTCTGCACGTTATTAACGTGCGGATGCCATTGTAAAGAGAAGGAAAGCATGAAGGGCTAGTAGAAAATACATGGCATCCGCACGATAATAATATTCGAACGTCAGCATAGTAGAAAATTTGTATATATATTAATGATTGTTGTAATAGTCTAAGACCAAAAGAAAAAAAAAACAAGAACAACAACCACAAGCATGAAAAAATCTTGTACAGATTTGATTATATATATATATATATATCTTGTACAAATTGAAGTTAAGTCGTAATAGTGTAAGAAAGTACTTAAAAGCTATGATCACGAACAACATGCCTCATTCACCTCCAATCTTAAATCAGATGAACCAGATCAAAAAACCCATCCCAGCGTGTCCTCAGAATATTGTCCACGTCCTCGATCGTTCTGTTACTATGTTTCCTATAATGTTCATAGGTGTTTCGCATAAACCTTAAAAGCTCTGACGGGGTATAATTATATGATTTACTCAGTCTAGACTCATATATATCAGACAAAAACTTCTCCCACTTTTCTCTGTCTGTGTCCCAACCAAAGAACGCTTGAAACATATGCCCCATGTTCATCCTCTCGTCTATATGAAATATATTGTCATGATAAACACTTGTAACATTTTTTACCCTTTCATGAGGAGTCAATAAAAAGGGGTGCTTCTTCAATTTCTCAACATATTTTTTATAGCTAAAAAGACAAAAAAAAAACCCTAAACCCTAAACACACAAATAAGAACAAATATTTCACCAAAAAAATAACGTTCAAAAGAACTCACACCTGAACACTGTAGCTGCGTCAAAACAATTAAGAAATCCATCACGCTCAAGCCATTTAGTACTAGATTCCAGCAGCTTCTTCAGAGTGTCCCTGAACTCTTGGAAATCTTGGATTTTCCTTGAATGTTGATCTTGTACTCCAAGGCCCTCCAAGCAACCATTGATGTTAAATAGTTTCAGTTGGTCTCCAACAACAACATAATTATCATATTCGTTCAACGAACCATGGAACAGTCCACAATCATGAATGTGAGCAATTGCCTCTATTAATTCCCTGTCATATCATGAAATACATTAGTTAACTAAACCATAAGATAATAGCACTAGAACAAAAATACTATTACGCTCACCGTATTGTATGCCGCCAGAAATCAGATAAGCAATTATTTCGAACTTTGGAGTTTAACTTTTCACAATCACTAATGTCGACGTTGCCTTGTAATTTGACCAACCATTCATTGAGGGTGTTATCAAACTTGTCAGAACACAAGCCCCACCATCCCTTCGCCATATTCTTTTCAGCCTCACTGGCACTGCATACATCACCCAATGATTTCTTCTGTTTGCAAAACGTATACATCCATGGACGGAGAATCCTTTCATTAGATACTTTAACGTTCAACCTAAAAATTTCTCCGACACTCAATTTAGTTCTAACAGCATCCATATTCATAAATGTCACGGGCATTCCACCTTGATTATTTTCCTCCAAGAACAGCTCACCATCATAATGTTGTTTCTTGCTAGCATAATCGACACGAAAATTGTAAAAGCTAATACAAGAACCCATTACAATGTATGTTAAATTATTGTCGCTCCATTGTTTTTTAATGTAATCGATGTAATCGTAGTCAATTAAATCACGATCAACCTCCATTTCCTGAAAATTAAGATTCAAAACTATTAGATTATTTGATTTCAATTCTCATAACAGGTGCAATAACAAAAACATACGATATATGGAGAAAGCATAATAGCTAAAGCTATGTTATAAATGAGAAAACATAATAGGTAACCTTAGATTGTCGTTGACGATGAAGCAAAACCGTACGATATAAGGAGTAGTCCTCCAATGGCACCTTTGATGAGTGAGAAGCAAAAAAAAAAAAACAAAGATACTGAGTGAAAAAGAAATCCAAGAGGAGGGAGGGTGGGAGAGAAGACGGTACATTATATATGGCTTTGAACTAAACCACTTACTTAAATTGGCCCTAAAACCCAATCTCATAAAAAAAAGAGTAACAAACCGAAAAATCATAAAAAGGGGTAACAAACAAAAAGCTTCATATAGTTTTCCTGTTTCTTGTAAGTCTCCCGTTTCTTCCTTCCAAAAAAATAAATAGAAAGGTTTCCTGTTTGTTCCTTCCAAAAAATAAAAAGAAAATAGAAAATTACGTACTAATAAATGTCCTATTTCAGTTCAGGGAAGATTAATTTCCTTGCCTCTTTTGGAGAATTTCTAGTAGGTATAGGATTAGTTTCCTGTTTCAGGACAAGATTAATTAGGTGATTATATAAATACATACTTTGCCGCGGCATACCGAAAACCCCTTCTGCCGCGGCATTCACAAACCCTAAATTCCCTTTTGCCTCAATTTAAGCATTCCCTTTTCCGTGGCCGCCGTTGATGAGCATACCTCGTGTCAAATGGATTTTTCATGTCAAGATAAGCTACTGCGCAAGATATCGCAGATCGAGAAAACTGTGGGCCAACTGTTGGATTGGTCGAAATCAATAACGCAGGAGTTTGGCTTACTACGCCCCGATCCAGCCATAACTACGACCACGCCGCTTCCACCTTCCGCGGTGCTTGAGGACTGCAATTCTGACCATGAGGCTGATGATTTTTACCCAAGGTCAGTTCTGAATTCTCATTGTTGTTTTTCTTTTCTTTTTTGTTTAGTTTCTCTCCCTGCTATGTATTTTGAATAATTTGCTTGAAATATATATATATATATATGTATAATAACCAGTTTCTACTAGATATTTTGACCCAAGAAAAAAAAATTATACTAGATATATTCTCTCTAGGCAGGGTAGATCTTTGAAAAATGATTAACTTGACTTGTTCTATACATCTCTTTTCTCTCAGCTTGCCTGAGGATTGGGAGCAAACATCAATGACGGTATATCAAGAGGAAGCTAGATCTGTATGTTTATTCGTGTCTTCTTGTGAGGACAGAGAATACACTAATTCAGTCTATGAAGTGAAATTCAAACACAGAGGAGAAGTCACTCATGAACCCCCAGTAGTTAGACAAGTTGCCAAGTTCCACGAGGGTTTTTGCCTTAACGCTGCACGGATTTTCAACCACTCCAAATTATACTGCATTGGACAAGATGGTGGATTTATTGTTGACATGAGGAGTTGGTCAAAATGTTCATCTATTCCTCCTATCCCATCCTCTAACTCACTAGAAAATATTGTGTGTGCGTATGGTAAGGTTTATTATTTTTTATGTTCGTCACCCTTCTCACCAATTACGGGACACTCCTTTGGGAGATATAATCCCGATCATAAGGTTTGGGAACAAATGACTTCTTTTCCATTTTATGATGATTATGACCCCACTATGCTAATGACTGGTTATGCCGTTTGTTATGGAGTTATTTTGTTTTCATTGTCTGGTTCGAGAGACGAGAGTTTCAGTATAGTTGCTTTTCACGTGGGTAGAAGGGATTGGAATCGAGTGAAAATTGACACTTCTGCTCATAGTGCTCCTCTTTTCGAAGGGAGGGCCATGGTTGTAAACGAGACTATCTATGCCTTATATGGGGATGCAAAGATTAAAGCATTCTCCTTTATAAGGGAACAATGTGATGTTAATGGTATTTCATATTCCCTAAGGCAACTGTTTGTTGTGCAAGGCCTTGATATCGCGCGTCCGCTGCTGCCATGGCTTAACGATATGACACACTATTTGGTTCATTTGGGAAACCATGACTTTTTCTATGTCCAGACTGGCTGGTGCGATTCACATCCCAAGGTTCAATATCTTAGTATCACCACGTTTGAAATTGTTCTTGAAGGAGGAAAACATATGATCAAGACCATAGATTCAATTGTTCATTCTGTGGATATCAAGGG